GCTAATACGAGCAGTAATCGATCACACTGACTTGAAACGGCTACAGTAAATAAGCTACAACATGGCTCATTCGGACGTCGCGTTCGATATGAATGATACCAGGGTCCACACCCTCAATTATAAAGGCTATGAACTTTACCAGGCCAAGTTAGACAAACATAATAAAAACATGTCGAAAGCATGGCAAGCCGTGGATGCCACTATTCAACAAATTGAGAATTTGGACAGTCATCACGATCTCACTTCTATCGTCCGTCTTGAGGAAGAGTTAAAGGAGAGGATCCAAAAATATGACGAATTAACTCAGGAAACATTAGACTTCTTAACAAGAACTAACACAGAAGAAAGCCTTAAACTTCTTAAGAAATATAGATTAGCAGAGGAAGGTTATACGTGGCTTTCAGACAAGGCAGCACGTAAAATAAGGAAGGTCCGTGTTGGATTGGAAGAAGAGAAAATGTCTGTTCTTAGTCGTCAGCGTTCTCTCGGCACCCTAAGTAGACACTCCGGTAAATCTACCTCGAGCACACTCTCCAGTACCCTGGCTAGGAAAAAAGCTGAGGCAGGTGCTGCGCGTGTACGAGTGGCGTATGCCAAACGGGAGGCTGAGTTAAAACGTAAGCAGGCTGAAATTAAGTCGGACATGTCAGTTTTGGTTCGCGAAAGAGAAGCAGCAGCTCTAGAGGCAGAGGTCGACTTACTTGAGGAGAGCGGTGTAGAACAGAATGTCGCAACACCCCCACAGTCTTCAGTAACACAACAGCAACTTTCACAGGAACGTCTAGAGAAATACATGAGTAATTTGAGTTGTCACGATATGCATCTCTCGCCTGTACCAAGTGAGAGTAAGTTCCAACTCAATCCGGAAGCTCCTCCTTTCGTGTCCCCTTGCGTGTCACCACCTCACACCGACTTTGAGACAGTCAAACCCGTCGCTAGAACCTATGTTAAGCGCCCGCCTGTGGACAACGCTATAACATCTGACTTCACGCGTTACCTCCTTAAAAAGATTTACTCTTGTCGCGTCTCATTAACTTTAACGACAAAGCAGAGACGTACAATACGTGGAAGTTCAGTTTCTGTGACGTTATGAGAGACCTAGGTGTAGGACCACAAGAGGAGATAGACCTTTTACTGAAATGGTCAGGACCGAAGTCCCAGAAACATGTTCTTAGTATTAAAGCCGCAAACATCAAGAACCCCGAAAAAGGTCTACGACGAGTTTGGGAACGCCTTGATGAACGCTACGGTGCACCGGAAAAGGTTCATGCCTCATTGAAGCATCGGTTAGAGACCTTCCCGAAGATAACTCTTAAAGATACCAAGAAACTGTATGAGTTGTCCGACATCGTTTCTGAAATAGAGGCTATTAAGGAGGTCGAAACGTACTGGTCCTTACTTGGGTATTTTGACTCTTCGACAGGCGTTATACCTATCGTAAACAAATTACCCTATGGTTTACAACAGAAATGGACGTCATCAGCGGTGAAGTACTGTAAGACATACCGTGTAACATACCCACCTTTCGGCCAGTTCGCGAACTTCCTCAGGGAACAAAGCCGCACACTCAACAATCCTAGTTTTATGTATGAGTTTTCCGCGAATACATCCACTCCGAGAAAGGATAAACCTCCTCAACGGAACGCCGTTGTTACTCGTAAAACAGAGCTGAAAGACTCGTCTACTACGAAAACAACCGAATCCGTACCGAGCACCGAATCCGACACGAAATCGCGCTGTCCTATTCATAATACTCGCCACTCACTGAACCTATGCCGAGGGTTCAAAGACATGCCTATCAGTAAAAGACGTGATTTTCTTAGAGACAAAAGGATATGTTTCCGTTGTTGTGAAACCACGGCCCACTCAAAACCGGATTGTACAGCGGTCGTCAAATGTAGTATTTGTTCGAGTTGTGAACACCCGACAGGCCTTCACGTCAACAGCCAACCCACGCAGCCCCGGAACTTGAATGGCGGGGAGTCCCCACATGTAGAAAAAACATTCGTGAGGACTGCCTGTACACAAATTTGTGGGAATAACAGTGGCTTTGGAAAGTCGTGTGCAAAAACTCTGTTGGTTAATGTATACCCGCGAGGAAAACCAGAGAGCGCGGTTCAAACATACATGACATCAAAGTAACAGATCACTGGCTAACTCGTCGTTGTTCGACCAACTAGGTATCGAAGGCGAACCGTATCCGTACGTACTATCTTCCTGCTCTGGTAAGGCCGATACCACTGGAAGAAGGGCCTCAGATCTGGTAATTGAACCGTATGATGGATCCACACGGATCGACTTACCTCACCTCATCGAATGCGATCAAATTCCGAATTGTAAGGAAGAGATTCCGACTCCTCAAGTAGCTGAAAGTTACCCTCATCTCCGCGATCTAGTTCCGCACATTCCGCCTGTACAGGATCACACCAATGTCAATCTTCTTATTGGTCGCGACGTAATTCAGGCACATCACGTTCTTGACCAACGTGTTGGTTCACCTTACACGCAACGACTCCCTTTGGGATGGACTATTATTGGACAGACTTGTCTCCATAAGGTACATGCACCACAAGAGGTGTCGGTATACAAAACCTACATCCTTCCTAACGGCCGATCATCCATTTTTCCGCCATGTCCGAACAACATAAAGGTTCAGGATTCACTTCGCGCGGATAAAAGAAACGTTTTTCCTTCCTTCAATGGGGACCAGGATTTCGGCGCGAATGTCTTCGTTAAGACACCCAACGATGAAAAAGTAGGCTTGTCCGTTGACGACAGGAAATTTCTTCAGCTTATGGACAGAGAAATGTCAAAGAACTCTGACGGAAACTGGGAAGCACCCTTGCCCTTCAAGGACCCACGACCACGACTTCCTAACAATAGGAACTTGGCATACCGTTGAGCAAAGTCCCTGGATGTGAACTTGCAAAAGAATCCCGAGAAGCAAACACATTTTATAACGTTCATGGACGAGATCCTCAGTCGTGGACATGCAGAGTTGGCACCACCCATAAAGGAAGACGAGGAAGTTTGGTATCTGCCCATCTTCGGGGTATATCACCCTCAAAAGAAGGACCAGATCAGAGCTGTGTTTGACTCCTCAGCTGAGATAGATGGCATTTCGTTAAACAAGGTTCTGTTGACTGGACCCGATCTCACAAACAGTTTACTAGGCGTTTTAATGAGGTTTCGTCAAGCACCGGTTGGAATCATGGCTGACATCCAAAAGATGTTTTATTGTTTCTATGTTAACCCGGAACACCGAAATTACCTCCGCTTTTTCTGGTACAGAGACAATGACCTTTCGAAAGACTAAGTTGAATTTCGTATGAAGGTCCACGTGTTTGGCAACACAACGTCTCCAGCGGTGGCCACTTACGGGCTGCAAAAAACTGCTAGCGAGTCGGAGACAACTTACGGATTGGACGTCAGGGAATTCGTGGAGAGAAACTTTTATGTGGACGATGCGCTGACGTCACTTGCTACTCCTGTGGAAGTCATCTCTCTCCTACAGAGGACTCAGGACGCACTTCGCATCGGCGGTAACTTGAAACTAACTCGCCAGAGGTCCTTCGCGCCTTTCCTAGTGATCTCGCACCCGATCTTAAGGACCTGGACTTTGCTTCCAACAATCTACCCACTCAACGTAGTCTTGGATTGAAGTGGGATCTGGTTTCCGATGTCTTTACGTTTAAAGTCACACAGGAGGAGAAACCGTACACGCGGAGAGGCGTCTTGTCACGTGTCAACAGTCTCTACGATCCTTTGGGATTCATTGCACCTACCACAATACAAGGACGGCTTCTTCTCAGGAAGGTTGTATCGGCCACCGATGATTGGGACGATCCACTGCCTCCCGACTTGCGAGATGAATGGGAGCAGTGGGTGGAGTCTTTGCAAGAGTTGAACAATCTTACCGTGCCTCGTTCTTACGGTCCGATTTCGATCTACAATGCGTCCTCAAAGGATGTCCATATTTTCTCGGATGCTTCGGAGAAGGCAATAGGAGCCGTCGCCTACATCAGAACCTTGGATGAACAAGGAAACGCGCATCTAGGATTTGTACTTGGCAAATCGAAACTTGCCCCTAGCCATGGACATACAATTCCAAGATTAGAGCTCTGTGGCGCTGTTCTCGCCGTTGAAATTGCAAAGTCTATAGCAGAGCACCTAGATATGCCGTTGTCAAACTTCCACTTCTACTCGGACAGCCGTGTCGTGTTAGGTTATATTTCTAACGAAAACAGGAGATTTTATACCTACGTGGCTAACCGTGTCGAGAGAATACGTCAAGTGACTGACCCACCACAGTGGTTCTTCGTATCGACAGAGCACAATCCTGCCACAAGAACATTGGCACCTTCCGAGTTGTCGAGCAGCATGTGGCTGTCAGGCCCGTCCTTCTGGTTACGAGATAAGGATACTAAGGAGTCGCAAGAGACTCTGTATAATCTGGAGAATCCTGACCTTGACAAAGAAGTGCGACCGGAGGTTAAGACTTACAAAACAGAGATCAAAACATTCGATTGGACACATCGCTTCGAAAAGTTTTCGACATGGAACAATCTCGTTGTCGCTATTGCACGTTTGCAAAAATTTGCGAAGTCTATTTCCAAAACTGCGTTCGCTGGATCGAGTGCTTCGTCACCGTTAAGTGTACAGGACAAGGAACGAGCGCAAATGTTCATTCTTCAACATGTTCAACGTGACGCATATCACAAAGACATGCAGTGCCTTAAGGAACGCAAATCTTTACCTAAGGATAGTTCGGTGTCGTCTCTAGATCCAACCTTGAGCACGGAATGTTGAGGGTAGGAGGCCGACTGCGTCAATCTGGTCTACCGGTCAAGGAAAAGAACCCTATCCTCATTCCCGGTCGGTCTCATGTCGCCAAAATTCTCGTCCTTCACTACCATAACATCGTGAAACATCAAGGCCGCCACATAACAGCTGGTGCAGTTCGGTCAGCAGGGTTCTGGGTAACTGGAGGAAACAGGCTGGTGTCGTCACTCATACATGTTGCGTGTAGGAAACTCCGAGGAAAGTTTCTTTATCAGAAAATGGCCGATCTCCCTCGTGACCGCGTGGATCCAGGACCGCCTTTTACTAACGTAGGGGTTGACTGTTTCGGTCCGTGGCAAGTGGTATCTCGTAAGACTCGCGGTGGACAGGCATGTAGCAAGCGTTGGGCAGTGATGTTTACTTGCCTTACTAGTAGGGCCATCCATATCGAGGTGATAGAGGAGCTTTCATCTTCATCCTTTATCAATGCCCTCCGACGATTCATCTCTATACGGGGACCGGTTAAGATATTTCGCTCTTATAAGGGGACCAACTTCGTAGGATCGGTCGGTGAACTAAACATTGATGCCATTAACTGTGAGGACGATAGGATCTTTAGATTTCTCCAAAATAATGAGTGCGTTTGGCTCTTCAACCCTCCCCATGCGTCCCACATGGGAGGAGCCTGGGAGCGCATGATTGGGGTGACAAGACAGATTTTGGATTCTCTGCTCGTAAACGTGCCAGGATCAGGACTTACACACGAAGTTCTCACTACCTTCCTTGCCGAAACATGCACTATCCTCAACTCTCGGCCTCTCACAACTCTCTCAGTGGATCCCAACAACCCTTATCCGCTCAGCCCAGCTATGCTGTTAACACAAAAACCCAACCGTGTGGAAACAATCGATCTACCGCAAAGTCCGA